ACAAAAATATTAATAGTGATAATTTTAATGAATGCGTCGAACTGTTGGCCGAATTTGCATCTGCTGCATCATCTGCATTAGAACAGGATTCACCTCACGAGTCTTATATGCGAACACCAAGAACTCGTATATCCAAAACGTATGCAAATTTACATTCAAATTTTGAATATATAAATATACATAATACATCAACAATTTTAACCTTTTAATACATTTATAAATTTTAAATTTCTTCTCATTTAAGCCAATCGGCTATCATTGATAGGGCACGTAAAGCTGTCGAGTTGTTGTACATTCTGTATAATCAGATACCGAAATTGCTAGTAGAGTCAGAAACACCCCCACGAGAAGGTATCTTCTATAGACTTAACTGATTAAATTGAACTTTGACCTCACTAATCATTCTTTACTTTATAGCTTGGTCAACTTATTGGCTTCCAATACTTACCGGTCTTAGTCAGCAGTGTTATAATCCATGCCGTGAAGTTAGGCAATGTGCCATCTCGTTCCTTCAACGATCGTTACTTGACCCAGAGCTTGTATCACATGGTGTTACGGAATGGGTGGTCATCTTCGATGTAGTACTGTTTCCATTACTTGATCAATTGCTCAAACCTGAGATTTTTCAAACTGACCCTACTAATATGGAAGAAACTAGAATACGTGCTTCTGCATTGATATGTAAAATATTTTTGCATTATTTAAATAGACTATCAGAATGGGGTGGATTAACTTCGTTATGGTCGCAGATTTTAGACGTAATGGAACGTTATATGACAACTGGGAATAATGAGTCACTGGTATGACGGTGGATATTATTACTGTACAAACCTCCCCAAATGTACACCCTCAGAACTATAAATGCACATTTAAAGAAGTGTGAATTTATAAAGAGTTTTTAGTGTTTAGAACTGAGGCGTAAAAAGTGCATTTATAGGGGTATGCACTTCTAGAGTGTGCACTTAGGGAGGTTTGTCTATCTATATTTATATTTTTTAGAATTCAAATTGATTAAACTTTTAACGATTTCACAGCGTGAAGCGGTTCCTGAATCGCTTAAAAATATGTTATTGGTAATGTCAACTTCAGGTGTTTTTAATCCACCAGGAACAACTAAAAGCAGTGGTGGCAAAACAATTGAACTATGGGATATTACTTGGACTAAGATAGACAAATTTTTGCCCAAACTCAAAGATGAACTTTTTCCAGAAACCCCATCTAATACAGAGTCATCACCTAGATCATCACAAACACAATTGCAAACACAACTACAAAGTCAACCCCAAAATATATTAGACACTCAATTAGTATCTATAGATGTTTCGGAAACGAACGATCCTAAAATCAATGTAGAAAATAATGACTGTCTTACAAGTCAGGAACAAAGTACGTCTGTCAAAACACAAGAAATTGTACAAATCTAAAATATTTAGACCTAGAATTTTGTTTCCTTTATTAGAATTTAATTTTTAATAGAACTTAATAAAATATTTTCTATGGTTTTGATCGAGAATTGTTTAAAATCATACAAGTTTTATAAACTTTATAACATTCAGAAAGTACGTCTTTACAAAACATTCCAATAAGCCAATTATTTGTTCATTCCAACAAAATACAAAAATATGGCGCGCGACATCTAATCACATCCAAAATAATTCATTTTTCTATATTTATATACTATATAAGCAAAAGAACATATTTATAGAAAGCTTTTTTAAAACAAACCATTTATTATAATATTATTTTGGTTTAAAAATGGTCTATTTTATTAATAATAATAAAAACTTCAGCTCCTCTATATATAGGAAAATATCGGAAATATGTCGGATTTTCCCGGAAAATCAGGCTGCAGTGTAACGTCACACGAGCGTGACTAACTTAAACCAATCAACTTGTAGTACCAAATTTGTTATAATGAATTCTCTTTCGATATGCCGTAAATCATATAATTGTTGCATATTAAAATGAAATCAGATTAAAATGAAATGAGAGATAGTGTAAAATAGACAAGCCACCGAAAAATACAAATTTTTGGGGTGCATTTTTTTTAGCATTTTTTTAGGGTTAGGACTAGGTTTAGAAGCAGGTTTTATAATAAGTGGGTTTTAGGGGGTCAAATAGAAATTCTTCATTTCATTTTAATCCGATTTTAATATGATCTGTGACAATAACTTACCTTCCTCCAGACAACAAGAAGATAACCTACCTCCATCTGTACAACAAGCAAATAATCTATTACCACCAGAACAACAGAATAATAACTTACCACCATCTAAACAACTAGAACAACTTGAGAACAACTTATTATCCCACAAAAATCACTTGTAGTATTACCACAACACCCTTCTATAGTACTACCTGTCACACTTTCTGTAAACATGACTAATGTTGCTCTAAATAATGCTGCTGTTGCAATGATCCAATTGGTTAATACTTTAACTTCCAGTGGAGAAAAGTCTCTCATGAAATTTAATTTTTTTATTGGTGATGGAAGTCAAGACTCAGTAAAATAGTTAGAAGAATTTGAATGAACTGCTATTGCTAACAATTGGACTACTGCTTGACAACTTACTCTTGCCCCTACTACCTTAAGAAAATTGTTGCTGAATGGTTTTGAGGTTTTGACCCTGCTCTCAATGTTTTTAATAATAGCCACAATAGAAATTGAAGCTTTTATTATCTTTTTAAGATCCAGTTCAATATTACCAAACAAAAGATAAAATGGCAAAAGCAGTTATTTGAAATTAAATAAGGAACTAATACTGTAAACACCTATATTACCTGTTTTAAGAAATTACAAGCCAGAGTAGACCCTGCCGATGATTTTTCTGATGATTTTATTTTTTAACTCTTTATTCAAAAATTCAGATCTAAATATATTATTGGTATACAAGCAGACACTCTTGCTAACTTGGCTACTGCTATAATTGCTACTTGCAATTGAGAAAATAGTAAACTATCTTCTTTTCTACTACAGATACAGACCAAGCAATTAAACAACTAACTAAACAGATTGCTCAATTTAGCATTAACCTTGCTTAACAAAAACTTGCTACCAATGTTATATACTATGCCAAAAGTCTACTACTGAATCTAGAATTAGACAACCATCTACCTGCCATTATTGTGAATATACCAGATATTTTATTGCTTAGTATTGTGCTAAACAGAGATTATGGGACAGAAGCTAAGATTATTATAATAACTGCAATTATAATAGATCTAGAAGCCAAGACAGAAACTATTCTAGATCCTATAATAAAAGCAGATCACAAGACAAGAATAGATCTAGAAGTCATAATAATTATTCTCAAAATCGAAATTATTCTCGAGAATAAGATAGCTACTATTTCTATGTTGATAATTATAAAAAATCCTCAAATCACTTACTCTCTTCTTATTATCATAATATCAACTACTTTGACTAAAACTCCAAATCTTTTTCTCTTATAAGCTAACAGAAATAGAAAACCCTCTTAGACAACCTTTCTATCCAAAGTATTCTTTCTGTTTACCTTAGCTAAGAAGCTAAATAGCTATTACTCCTGAACCAACTATTACACCTATCAAATACAATATCAAAATTAGAAACAGTCCTTACCAAGCTATTGTAGATAGCAAAGTATCTATTAATATAATTGTTTATAAAGTAGTCTATAAGCTAGGACTCAAAATCGAACAAGTTTCAACTAACCTTATTATCTCTACTACTGAAACTTCTTCTCGATCTCTAAAAATTATCCGAGACCTTCCTATTTAGATTGAAAGTACCACCATCCCTATTACTGTTGAAGTAGCCACTAATACTTCCTATTTCTTACTTCTTGAAAAAACTAGTTTAAGAAAGTTGAAGCCAGTTATAACTAGAAAAATGGTTACTACTTCTTTAAGTAGAAAAATTGCAAGTATTATACCCTTACTACTTATGAAAA